TATTTTCTCACTATAGACCTTTTATCACAAACTTGTCTTTAGCTGTTAAAATTTTAAAATGTCCCTTTTTTCCTTCTCAGATTCTTACACTTTAAACTTGGTTGGCTGCCAATAGAATGGTAGTAACCTTGAAGTTTTTTTTTTTAACAAAGTACAGAAAAGTGCAAGTTAACCTTATAATTACAATTGAAGAATTTACAGTACAATACTTTAAGGACACCAATTAAACATCAACTCAAACTGAAACATAGATACATTTATCAATTAACTAAAATTTGTAACTTTTCAAACTGAAACAGACATTTATCAATTAACTAAAATTTCTAACTTTTCAAACTGAAACACAGATACATTTATCAATTACCTAAAATTTGTAACCCTTGTAAAATTTCTTACTTTCTCTGGCTTTATGTCCTTCAGAGTTTTTTTAGCTGTTTTTAGTCCATTACTTATTTTTTCTTACTAATTTTTAAAATTTGAGCGTAAGCCCTATTTGATCCTCTCTGAGTCTAACCACAGCAAGGTACTCTGAACCCAAGCAGTTTTCATGCTTCTGTCCCCACCTCCTCCAAACCTGTGAATTTAGCAACTCAAAAAGAGAGGGAAAGTCTAAATTCTCTTGGTCTGGACCTGAAAGAACCGGTTACTTTTCAGCATCGTCTCCTTTCTGACAGAGGACCAGGATGTTGCTTTTCGCTTCTGGGGCGCACATATGAAGCTAAGGAGGCATTCTGGGGCACAATTTGAGCCATAAATCAATATAGGGAAATTGATCTGGATGTTCCCATCCAGGGGCAGTGACTGTTAGCCAGATGGACCAGACAAGACCCTCACCTAGGGATCTCCCAGTTGGCCAAGCTAGGCAAAGCTTGGGCCATTCTAACTCACAAAAGGCTCTAAGTTTTGGGGTTTCATCTTAATACCATAATTTCCAGTAAAGCCTTTCTTAAAATTCCTAAGCATGCATTTAAAAACAGCAGGATGAGATGTTTCTGTCCCCACGATCAGCAGATCAGAGTGTTGGTGCGTATATGGGTACCCTTGTACGGAGACGCAAGACAAACAAAGGTGGGGGATCACTCGCTCGCCTGCCTGGCTGCGGGCTTCTCGGCCATTGTAAGGTCTGTTCAGGCTAAGGTGGGCTGACCATTGTGCCTTTGTTAAACGCGACCACAAGCAAATTCTACAAGCGCTTCCTCCCTGTCTTGTTCCGCAGCTCATTCCACACACTCTCCTATCCAGAACACTTTCACTCACACATTTATTCAGAAATTATCACATTCCCTCCCGGTGACCCCCTAACGGTAACCAAAACAAATGAAAGACGCTACCTCCCCAAATGGCAAAGCACAAGGGGTGATCAGGCCCCTGCACTATGTTTGCCCAAAGTTCATACCAAAACAAATGAGAGGAGCTATCTTTCCAAATGGCAAAGCACAAGGGGTGATCAAGCCCCTGTGCTGTATTTGCCCAAAGTTAGAGTCTAAATTCACAAGGCAAAACCGAAAGTTAACAACTAGGGGGTTTCCCAGGGTTTCTCACCCAGCAATGAGACAGACGAGACACCAAGAGCAGCAGTCCTCCTTCTGTAGTCTCCTTCTCGGGTTCGGGCAAACCTCCAATGGTGAGCAGATCTCTGTGTCCTGTTGGGGAGCCTAGGAAATTAGTCCCAGGGGCGCGCCTTTCCTCTGGAGGAGACAGAGAGCCGCTCCCTTCGGTGGGGTTCGGGCCGATGCCCAAAAGGGCTATTTCATTCCTGATCTTGGAAAGAAATACACAGACACACAGAATTCGGATAAAATAATAAAATTTCTTCTCACAAGCGGACGGGAATGCCAGAAACCAGTCTGGTCAATATCTGCCCCCTTTGTTCAGCGTTTCCCTTTTTATATCCTTTGTAGCCATTATCTCATCCCTAGTGGTCTTTTATGTGTAAATACAATTCCAGTTCCTATTTACAAGTCACAGACACAAGATAGGCCATATACGTTGTAAATTCACCCTGGCCTGGTAACTTTGTTAGGTTAATGAAGTTACTGGTTAGAGTCAGATAATCTTCACCTTAAACAAGGAGTTACAGGAAAAGCAATTCTTAAAAGAACACGTTACTTATTTTGCTTCTACAACTACCTTAATATTCAATCTATTAAGTTATCTAAAACTTTTCCGTATCATAGATACCCTTGAAAACTGGAGCCTTTTGGGGTGGGCAGAAGCCAGCCTTGAACTTACTAGGAGCCCAGGCCTGCGCCACCATGCCCGGCTCCATCTCACAGATCTCCAGTGGTTCTGCAGGACGCAGCCAGCGGGAGCAAGTTTCAAGTGTAACAGGCAGCATGTCACCACAGGCCTGGGCTCCCAAGCCCATTCTGGCTGTGGGAGGACTCGGCCAGGGGACCTGGTATCGAGTGACCAGAAGACCAGGGGTGCGAGGGGGCCGGACGGAGCGGGCATGGATGAGGGGACACCAGGCCAGAGCTGTCACCGCAGCCAGAGAGGAGCATGGACCTGAGGCCCCATCTGCCCTGCTCTGCAGAGGCCAAGGCTGCCAGCCCTGTCCTAGGGCCGGCCACAGATGGCACCCACTGTCACAGAAAGCACTGAGTCAGCGGAGGCTCTTCATGCAAAGCAGCAGCAGAAAGGGGATGTCCCCACAGGGTGCTCTGTGGGTCCCTGGGACCCCGAAAGTCCCGGGAGTGGCACGTGAGGCCACGTGCACAGCTGTTTAAAGGCACTAGGTCAAGGCAGCAGCGGAAGTGGTGGCCGCAGGTGAGCTGCCTGCTGTCAGGTGACAGTTAGTGTCCCAAGTCACTCAGGACCTCGAGGTCCCCACATCCCCTGGTGCAAATGTGCAGGGCCCAGAGGGCTTCAAAGTGCTTCCGAGAGGCCAGGCCAGCTCAGTAGAAGTCCAGCCGAGACTGCACGGTCTTGCAGCCCTTGTCCGAGTAGATCTTCTCGTCCTTGGGAAAGAATGTCATTTCCTGCGCCACCCTGGCCACCACCTCCTCGTCCACCACAGCCCCACGGGCCTGTAGCTCCGCTCGCACGCACATCTGCACATGCCTGTACTCCAGCGGCAGGAAGGGGACGAAGTAGTCGATGAGGTTCCTGTCTATCAGGCCACTGTGCCACAGGCCACCTGCGAAGGAGATGCAGGTTTCTAGCCCTTCCCGCCATGAGCACCTCTGGTCCCCGCCCACAGGACGCGCTGGTGCCCACCCCACTGATGCCCTAGCGACACCCAAGAGAACGGTGCCCTGCCGGGGCCGGTATGCTGGACACGCCTGTCATCCCAGCACTTGAGAGGCTGAGGCAGAAGGATCTCTGAGTTGAAGCCTAGCTCTGAGACACAGCAAGACCCTGTCTCAAAAAATCAAAGACAGACAGACAGACAGTGCCCTGTGGAGCACCGGGGAACTCACTGTGCTTGTTGTTGAAGACACCCACGGACAGCACGGCCTCCAGGTCCTTCAGCTGGACCTCCTCCCGCTTCCTCCCTGCCCGCCAGAAGTCCAGCGCCGTCCTAGTAATGATGTCCCCTCCCGCGTTGCTGGGTCCATCAGAGAAACACAGGCCCAGTGACATGCTGAGACTCCTGTCCCATCCCGACGTACTCCTGGACCCCTGCTCTAAGCTTTCCTTACTTTCACAGAACTGGGAATGAACCAGGGCCTCTGCCTGGAGGCCAACACTTCGCATGTATTTTTTATTCTAAGACAGGATCTCACCAAGTCTCTAAGCCGCCAAAAATGGGTGCGAATTTGTGATCCTCCTGCCTCAGCCTCTCAGAGAGCTGGGATGCCAGGTGTGCACCACCACACCCAACTTCTAAGCTTTACTTTCATTTTTAAAATGTTTTGAGGGGCTGGGTATTCAAAGGCACCAAATCTGCCTCCCAAGCACAAGGTTGTGAGTTCAATCCCTGGTACCAAAAAAAAGTTTTTGGCCAGGCATGGTGGCACACGCCTGTCATCCTAGCTCTCTGAGAGACTGAGGCAGGAGGATCCTCATGAGTTCCAGGCCAGCCTGAACTACATAGCGAGACCCTGTCTCAAAAAACCAAAAAAAAAAAAGGGCAGGTGGTCATGGGGTCCTCCCTGTCCCTGAGCACTCCCCACTGACCTGAGAAAGATGAAGATGGCCCTGCGGTATGACACCCCGTCCACCTGCTCATAATAGTCAAGAAAGGGCTTGATGGCATCGATGATCCCGGGGTGCAGCTTGTCCATCTCATCAAATATGAACATTGAGTTGGCGCACTTGCTCACGTTCCCATGGATCCACTTCTGCAGCTGGTCCTGGAGCAGCAGGAGAGGGGAGGAGCTCAGAGCATGCACAGGGGAGGCAGAGCCGGATGGAGAGCTCTCAGACCTGCACCACCTCTGCCTCCACTCCCTGGGGCACAGGTTTGACAGATTTTACCAAAAGCAGAAACCGGCTGGGTGTGGTAGCACTCCCTGGTCATTCCAGCCTGTCTCAAAAAACAATCAAAACAAACAAAAGGGTGTAGGAGGTAGGAGACTGAAATCTCCAGTTCCTCCTGCCAGGCAGGGCAGAAGAACCAGGAAGCAGAGGTCTGCCCAGTGCCTGAGACCAGGCCTTGACCGGCACCCTGCACAAAGCAGCTGACCCAGGCAGCACTTCCGACAAAGTGTGGGGATGGCATGCAGGCCCTTGCACATGCCCAGCAAGCGCTCACCATGGAGGGGCACCCTCAGCTGCAATGTTAAAACAAAGTTCCCCAGCAATAAACTCTCCACTCCAAAACATAAAGGCCACAACCACAGCACCCCCTCCTCCACTTCATCTACCTTACAGTATTTCAAAAGATTTACTGTTTTTTCAGAGGCAGTCTCGCTGTGCAGTCCAGACTGGCTGCAAACTCCAGATCCTCCTGCCTCAGCCTCCCAAGTGCTGGGATCACAGACAGGCACCACCTCACCCAGCTCTGTTACAAGAGCCTGATAACAGCATTGGGAAGCCAAGGAAACCATCTCTTCCTGGTCTTCACAGTTATGATGGTAAATGCTTTCACTTCGTTGTACAGTTAAGTTTCTATTTCTCATTCCTCCTCGCCTGACAATAGGAATGCTAACCCTGACAAGGACGACCGGAAGATGGAAAGAGCCTCAGAAGGAGAGGGATCCTGAGGCTCAGTTCGCTGAAGCCTTAGCGAAAGCTATGGCAAGGACTTGAAGGATGAGAGGAATAAAGGAGGAAGACAGACTCATCCACCTTGCAAATGCAGAGGCAAAGCTGGGGCTGCACCGTGGGGTGCAATCCTCCCCCCAACACCAAGGGCCCTACTGGAAAAGCTGAGCACCATCTTCAGTCACTGTGTAACATGCCTGCCAGGAAAAAGCTGAGTGCCGGGAGTTCTGAGTTCAAGTTCTGCTCTGCCAAAGCTTGTACAAGGCAATCTGGGCTTTTTTTTTTTTTGAGACAGGGTCTCACTGTGTAATTCAAATTGGGCTTGAACCCATGGCCTCCTCCTGCCTCAGCCTCCTGAGTGCTGGGATCACATGAGGGCGCCACCACTCACAGTCCTGGTTCCATTTTGAAATGGAAGTAGCATCCACTACCCTACTGAGTTATTTTGGAATCACAGGAAGAAAGACTGTAGAAAGAGCTCTGGGACCATCCTGGCATCAATGTGCCTTTTTGAAACAAAGACACCCAAGCAGCGAGCTGTGCACCTCAAAATACAAAAGGCCAGGACCACGGTGCCCCGTGCCCAGACATGCCCGCATCTGTCATCTTCCAAGCCATTCCTGAGGCCTGGGAAACAAGGCAGGCAGAGGGGCCGCCCCAATGCCAGATTAGTGAGGTCCTGCAGCAGGGGCAGTGGGGCCTCTTGCCTGGTACAGTTTTATCTTCTGCTCGTGGGGGAAGTGCAGGGTCGACACGTACAGGTGGACGAAGTGACTCTTCAGGCCTCGCGGGTGCAAATGGTCCGCCATGATCTGACTGACGAAGTTCTTGCCTGTGCCGGCCCAGCCATGCAGGGACAGGGTGAGCGGTTTCTTGGGGTTTTTGTTGTTCTTAAAGCCAGTCAGTGCCTTGAGGATCACCTCTGTGGCCAGGTGCTGTCCAAATAGCTTCTCCTCCAAATCCTGCTTGAGGGCTGCGGGGCACCACCCCAGAGCAGAGAGAAAAACACCTTAGTAAGGCACCAAAAAGCCAGTTAACAGCCCAGGATGCGCATTCAGGGATGCATTGGCCCAGGGATGCGGCTTCCGGGGTGCAGAGCACTTCCCACCACCTCTGCTGGCTCCGGGAAAACCAGGGGCCAAATCTGGGGGTCCTGGGTGTTCCCTACACATCTGAAAATTACTTTGAAGGGCTCCCCTGGAGCAGGCCGGGTGGCCACGCTACTTTCAGTTTGTTTTCTGAGCCAGGGTCTCATTATGTAGCCCAGGCTGGCCTCGAACTCGCGGCGATTCTCCTGCCTCAGCCTCCCGAGTGCTGGGATTACATGTGTGAGCCACCACGCCCGGCACTTTTAGCTCTTCCAGGGAGACCGAGGGCTGGCTGGCCGGCTCGCGGGGTTTGCCGCTCCCGCCCCTGCGCCCGACCCGCACGCACCCGAGGCGTCGAGAGGCCGCTCCGCGTCGCAGCACTCGGCGAAGCGGCAGTACCAGTCGGTGTAGGACAGGTAGCCGGTGAGCGCCGACGCCGCCCCGATGGCGAGGCCCACGCTCACGGGCTCGAGCGCCGCCGCCTCGCGCGTGGCCAGCAGCAGCAGCAGCAGCAGCCGCCTCAGCGCCGCGGGGACCCCCGGCCGTCCCGACGCCCGCCACATCGCGCCCCTCGCACCCTGCAGCCGCCGCGCTGGGCCCCGCCTGGAGAGCTCCAGACAGGACTTCCGGTCCCGAGCGTCACTTCCGCCCGCCAACCCGCCGCCTCAAGGACAGCCATGCCGGTGAGGGGCGGCGAGGCGCGCGCAGCCATCTTTGTGAGTGGCACGAAGTCTGATGGCGCTAGGGCTTCCGTGGAGCCTCACCTCTGGCTTTTAAGGACGTTTCTTTTTCTTCTCTTTTCTGTTTGTTTTTGTTTTTGTTTTTACCCCCTTTGGAAGGTACTAGGGATTGAATCCAGAACCTTTGCACTGAGCTTTATCCCCCACATCTTATGTATTTTGGGAGTGTCACTAACTCTAATTTGCCCAGGTTGAGCTGGAACTTGTGATTCTCCTGCCTCAGCCTCCCACACCCAGTTTATGAACTTTTTTTCTTTCTTTTTTGCTCTCCAGGGATGGAACAAGGACCAGTGCATTAGGCCAACACTCTAGCGCTGATCTATTTCAACAGCACCTACAGGCTTTTCTCTTCTTTTTTCAACCCCCCACTAGTAGCACTTAAACCCAAGGCCTCACACTGAGCTACATCCCAGGCTCCCCTTCCCCTGCTTATAAATTTTTTTTCTCAATGACCAATGCTTTTTATGACATAGTATTTAGTAGTCATGCTCAATCAACAAGGCCAACAGAAGCTTGTAAATACTCTGCTGAGTAATCTAGCACACCATTACATTTTTTTTCAGTGTAGTAACATTAAAATAATTCCTCTATCCTTTATTCATACAATTTTGCAAACAGGGGAATAAATAAAGATATAAACACATGAGAACTTTTTTTGGGGGGGGGTACCGGGGATCGAACTCCGGTCCTTGCGCTTGTACAGCAGGCATTGAAACCACTGAGCTAAATCCCCGGCCCGACGAGAACTTTTCTTAAAGTGAGTAAGATTAACAGAGGTTAAAATGATATCTATTGATAAGCCAAAGACTGACCCTGGCCCTAGTAACATCAAAATCAAAGTAGCTCTGAGTCAGAAAAGTGCCGTGGTGGTACATGACACTTAGGGTCTCAGTGGTCTACTTGAGATGATGTTTTGCTGTTGTTGTTGTTTTGTTTTTTGGTACTGGGGATCGAACTCGGGACCTTGTGCTTTCGTGGGAGGTGCCAGATTGAGGTGATATTTTTAAACTGCTAACATCTATTAACTCTTCATAAAAAGTAGCTAGTCAGAGTTTAGAACATTCTGACCAAGATGGGTCTGAACATGCCTTTCAAGGCCCTGCTGGTCATAGTCAGGAGGAACTGCGCACTGCAGGTCGACACACTTTTACCCCTTTCATAAATTTTGAGACATGGTCTTACTGTGTATCCAGGTTGGCCTTGAATTTGAGATCTTCCTGCCTCAGCCTCCCAGTGCTGGGATTACAGCTCTGTACTACCACAGTCTTATCTCCTAGACATATTTCCTTGGGCCTCTCAGCCCCAGGCCTTGCTTTGTCCCCACTCATCTTACCCCCCAAGCTGTGATGAGCCTGACAGCCTGGCCAGCCTGGGCTGGGCACGGGGACACGTGGCCCCAGGACAGACCTGCAAGGCCTGCCCTGTCCCCAGATGTCCAGCATCTGGGCTGTGGGGAGGTGAATTCTGAGTGTCCCCCGGGTGCAGGGTGGTGGCGATGAGGATGGAGAACCAGGCAGAGACAAGAGGTGGAGGTCTTGCCAGAGGTAATAGGGAGCCGTGGAAGGTTTTACACAGGGAGTAGCATGATCCACTCATGGAGCCCTCACATGGTCTGGGCCATGGTGCCACAGGACAGAGGAGCGGTGACTGGAGGTTTAGGGTCCCAGCTCCAGCTGCCGGGTCCAAATGCAACGCTTCAGCCATTGTCCCCACCACTGTCACAGCAAGGAGCAGGGCGAAGGGCAGAAGGCCGTGCCCGAGGAGGAGGAGGATGGAGAAGAGGGTCAGGGTGTGGCTGGGAGGGGTTGGCAGAGCTTTGGGGTTTTGTACAAAGGGGGATAAGGAGCTGAGTGTGGGGTGCACAGCTGTAACCCGGAAAGGCAGCTCTTAAAGACACGGCGCTTTGTTCTCACCCCCTTATTCACTGGATCTGGCACTGTATGACTTCTGGCTCCTCCCCAAAGTCACAGTGACCACAACAGGCAGATGTTTGGGATTCATTCAGGACATCGAGGCAGCCAGGGCAACACAACTAAAGACCCTCAGGAAAGAGCACTCCGGAGCAGCTGCAGGAAGTGGCGAGGACAGTGGGATCAGTGTGTTCAAAGCAAGGGTTTTAAAGAGGAGCTATGGCACTGTGTCTTTTGCTACAAGAACTGTTTCTTTAGAGACTGGGTCTCGTTATGTAGCCCAGGCTGTCTTGAATTCCTGGTGATTCTCCTGCCTCAGCCTCCTGAGTGGTGGATGACAGACATGTACCACCACACCACACCTGGCTGCTATAACTTTTAAAAACCGTAAACACTTACCAGATTTCTCAATCACACTGTATTGGTAAAAACTCCCCCAAAAGGTGTGTGAGCCAGGAGGGGTGGGGAAAGTTCAGGGTATCTATGTCTCCTGTTAGTTCTGTGTATTTTCTTTTTTGGGGGGGTACCAGGGATTGAACTTGGGACCTTGTGCTTCCAAGGCAGGCACTGGAACCACTGAGCTAAATCCCCGGCCTAGTTCTGTGTATTTTCTATGTGACCTATTCATGGATATGTATAAATAGATCACTCTCTCCATCTGTGTATCTGTGTTTCCTCTTGGCCATGTTTATCTGGTGAACCCTAACTAATACACAGAGCATAGCCCAAAAGTGTGAACTATGGCTAGGCCTGGTGCCATGGGCCTGTCATCCCAGCATTCAGGAGGCTGAGGCAGGGGGATTGCTGTGAGTTTGAGGCCAGCCTGGGCTACATAGTGAGCTCAAGCCCAGTCTGAACTAGATAACAAGACCCTGTCTCACAAAATAAACAAATACATTTTTTTAAAACTTTGAGAAATAACCAGTACATCTCTGAGGAAGATGGCAAGATGGCCAGCACTTCCACTGAAGGAGGTTTTTCTGACCCACCATGCTCAGCTTGGATGCCCTTTCCCCTGGGGTCAGAGCTGCCCTTTCCTGTGGAGCCACCAAGGACATGACAGTCAGTTCTGGCCTCATCCTGGACATGGGTCCCTCACTGGGAGGCCCACGGTGACCTGGCCCAGCTCCAACCACCCAGAGCCCGGGCCTGAGGTCCAGAGGCCCCAGAGGCCACGGCGCTGGGCCCTGCCCCTGTGGCGCATTTCTGGGAGCCTGGGGCTGCAGATATTCGGTCACCCTCCATCCAGCGACCCACGCCCCACTTTTTCTGTCAGGGCCCCAGGGAAATGGACAGTACCACAAGTCCGGCGTCCATCAACTCCAGCTCAGAACTTGCTTTCTGGTGGTCTCAGCCTTTAGACACAGGTTTCTGCAGATGATTCTTTGCTCAGAGTCTCTGGGGGAAGTTGCTAAGATCTGCAGGCATTGTGAACCAGGCACCGTGGCACATGTCTATGATCCTGGCACTTGGGAGGCTGAGGCAGGAAGATCACCATGAGTTCGAGGCCAGCCTGGGCCACATTCATTTCTTTCTTTCTTTTTTCTTTTCAATACTGGGGCGGGGTGGGGCTACCCATAGCCTCATGGGAGCAGGCAACAGCTCTCCCATAAGCGACATCTCCAGTCCTTTTTGTTTTATTTTACGACAGAGTCTCAGTTGCCCAGGCTGGTTTCGAATTTGGGATCCTCCTGCCTCGGCCTCCGGAGTAGCTGGGATTATAGGTGTGCACCACTGACGACCACTTTATTTTCAGCTTTGTAATTGCCTTTGACAAACAGTCGGAACCCGTGGTGGCTGTCCCCAGGGGTGCCCGCTCGCCGTTCCTCTTTCTGTCATTGCCCTCCGGGACATCTGGAGCGTGGCCCCGGGTGTTCACACCCTAAATTCAGAATTCTCCAGAGTAGTAAATTGAAGAGGAGCGGGAAAGGCTTGGAAGAGCGGCTCCACGCGGTGGCTGGTGGCGGCGGGGCTTTTTCAGGACCAGAGACAGCGCCCCGAGCCTCACCTGTTTCCCAGGGAGCTCAGACTAAAGCTCTGTCCTGGCCTGGGCTCTGGGACCAGCAGGGGGGAGGCAACCGAGGCACCCGGAGGGGACAGGAGGGCGGCCGGGGAGTACCACCCTCCCGCTCTCTGTAACCGCTGGATGGTCACAAAAAACAACGATGTAGAAAACCTCGAGACAGCTGGGCGTGGTGGTGCACGACTGTAATCCCAGCCCTTGGGAGGCTGAGGCAGGAGGATCGCAGCGAGCTGGAGGCCAGGCTGGACTACGTGGTGAGTTCAAGGCTGGCCTCGACTATATCAAATAAATAACGAGAAGCGTCCTGATGGAGTGGAGGCGTATCCATGTTTGGGGGAAAGAAGAGCCCCGAGGTGGGCGAGTCTGAGAAGAGGGGCGGCCCAGGGGCTTGGTCTGAGATGTGCGAGGTGGGGGCCGGGCCCACCTGGAAGGCGGCGGTCTCAGCGCAGCCGCTGGGCGGTGGAGGAGCCTGCTGAGGAGCAGCTGGCCCACAACACATTCCTGGCCCCTTCTGCACGGTAGGAACCACAGAAATGCACCAGGCAACACACCCGGAGCGTGCAGGGCAGCGCTGTCTAGAATATTAGCAACACTGACCACCTACAGTGGAACAGAGAAACCATTGTAAAGGCCTGAAATGGAATATTAGACAGCCATTAAGATGGATACACTTGCCAGGTGTGGTGATGCACACCTGTGACTCAGGAGGCTGTAGCAGGAGGATCCGCTCAAGTGATGAGGCTTGAAGTGTTTGTTTTTATTTGTTTGTTTTATTTTTTATTTGTTTTTGCATACTGGGGATTGATCCAAAGCCTGAGCCACATTCCCAGCACTTTTCAATCTTTAAAACAATTATGAGATAGGTTTTCACTAAGTTGCTAATTTGAAAGCTGGCTTTGAACTTG